GGTGCCTGCTGTAATACGCCACCTTGCCGGCGCCCCGCGGCGGCAGGCCCCCGGCGGCCGCCGCATAGCCCCCACGGCCGCCCTCGCCGCCTGCGCCCCTGCCGTCATCGCCCGAGTCGATGTCGCTGGCACTGTCACTGTCACTGTGACTGTCGCTGCGCCGCCGCGAGACAAAGGGGCTGCTGCCGGGCGAGGGGGCGCGCAGCCCGCGGTGCCGCTGCGGCGTGACTGACTGCCGGCCGGCGCGCCGCAGGGGAGTGCTGTCAGGCGAGTTGAGCGAGGCGCGCCAGGGCGTTCCGCCGCCGGCGCCGCCAGGTCGCGGCGTGCGCAGCGCCTCTTCTTCTTCTTCCAGTCCTTCGTCGCTGCTACTGCTGCTGCCCCGCGATGCGGTGCTGTCGCTGCTCGTCAAATCTCCGACAAAGACGGCGCTGTCGAGCGCCGCCGACTCACTCTCATCTGAACCCCCGCCGCAGCACATGCATACAGCCGATCCACATGCGGGGCACACCGGTGGCAGGGATGGGACGCGCTGCCGCGAGCGCCGGCCTGGCGGTGCGTCGCCGCACGGCGACACTGACATGGGGCGCGGCGGCGGCGACGCCGCTGGCAGAGGAGGACCGTCATCATACCAGCCGCCGCCGGCCTCGCCGCCGTCCAAACCGTCACCATTGTCCTCTTCATCCGCTTCGCTGCCGCTCGTGTCGCCTGCGCTGCTGTCGGCGGCTGGTGCTGAAGGGCCACGCTGGGAGGCCGGCGGCCGCAGCGCAGCTGCAGCAGGGACGCCGATTGCCGGGTCGGGCGATGCAGGCAGCCCGGAAGCAACAGCGCCACCCCGGTGGTGCTTCTCTGCGTGCCTGTATGCAGAAGAAGACTTCATTGGCGATTGGTTGGGGCAAAGCAGGCAGCTTCGGAGGCCGCCTACTGCGGGGCTCAGCACGCCCCGCCAACTGAGTCGGGACATTGCTGATTGTTGTATGAGGTCTACAATTCGTCCATCACCAGCCACAAATAAACCAGACGTAGTGCGCAGACGACACCGGACTGCGCCGACGGAATGTTTTGGCTCTACCGGTATGACATGGGCAACCGCTGCAAAGGTGATTCGAATCGTACGATATCATACGGTACCGTAACAAGGTAAACACTTATGACATAGCAGCTGATCAATCAACCTCGACACCATGGCAGGCCTAGAAGCAGATCGCTCGTTCAACGCGATTGATCTGGAGGTGGCCGTGGAGGGGCACGAAGGCCGATTGCACGTTCAGGTGGACACATTCAGGCCTGCTCACACCTGCCTCAATCAGCTCTTCGGTGCAGCCGGACTGGACCCGGCGCGAGCCGTCTTCTACGACCCCGCGGCCAACGAGCCTCCACCCGAGCCAACATTGCAGCTTGAGTCCCTGGCTGCCCGCCTGGATCACGCACTGAAGCAGCCCGAGTGCGGCATCGCGATCCTGCGGCGCGTGCGCCTTGCTCCTCCATGACGCCTGGGCGCCGCGGAGGCCGTGGCAGACGACGGCGGCGGAACTTTGACCCTGTCGTTGCGCGCGCGTGCCCCTGAAAGCCCCAGGGCGACTGGCGGCAGCCACTTCGGGGCGCGAGGTGCCGGCGGCAGCCGCAGGCGCAGCGCCAGCGCCAGCGCGGAGGCAGGCGAGGGCGCAGACAGCGGCGGCCACGACGGCGGCGGCGCGGGCATGACAGACGCGCAGATCAAGGAGCTCAATGGGTGCAAGACGGGCGCTGCGCGGGAGTTCGTACCCCGGATCAGGACAGGTGAGAGCCGGCGGCTGCCTTGTGTGCAAATTGCACAGCAAGTTAACCCTCTGGGTACCAAGTGTGAATATATTCACATCAACCCCCCATTCCTTCCCCTACATGGCGTGTTGGGCCCCCGCTGAGCAGCATTCGATAGACATTTGATAGATCCCACCCTGGCACCGGGCAGCGGGGCAAGCAATTGCGTACAGCGCGATTCTATACGTATAGAAACTTTCGCGCTCCACCGGTTCGAGCGTTCCAGGGCGATTCGCGGTGCCCGCCAGCGGTTTTCTAGTGACCCTAGCCTACACTAGTTCATTAGAGCCGCTAGCACGGCATTTGCTCGAAAGTTTGAGGCCTTTGAGGCGCAAGAGCCAGATCAGCTGCCCGCGCCACAAATGCTCTCCCAGCCCCTCAATGCTACATAAAAGACATGGAAACCCATCCAAATATATCCTATGATGAGTAACAGGGCTAGCTATGACGTGGCTGGGCAGTGACTTGGGCTTTGATGTGGGGCCGCAGGCGTGGTGTGTGCGTCGCAACTAAGGTGATGTTCAGGCATGTGAAGGCTCCCACAGTGCTGTTGCACGCATCCCCATGTGGAAATTCCTTCATCACGTCGCATACATGCACGTTGCCGCAAATTTAGCGACGTCGTTGAGGCGGCAGCGCCCCCCAACAGTGTGGCCAAGGCCACGCTTGCCCCGCTTGTCGAGGTGCTCAATTGGTGACTCACCACTACAAATGTATATATAATGATTATGTCACACATTTTATTCTGTAATGCGGAGCTCTTTCCCTGTCTGGCTCCTGCCATGTGCTGGGCGCTTCTCTGAGCAGCAGCAGCGGGTGACACACGCCGACACAAGCTGCATATGCGACGTCAAGCCGATTCCAAACAATTCAAAATAAAATAATATATCATTATTCGTGGCCGCGTAACCTGTAGATCCTTCGCGGCATGCGGCAAGTTGCGTTCGCGAAACGCGATCCGTAGCGCTCACTGGATCTTCTAGGTGTGGATCGAGTCATTTTAAGGCTTATTACGTGGCGCATATACAAGCTAACTCGTTGTGGACCACAGTGCAGCACCCTTCCCAGAATTAGTGCGCACTGGCGGTACCCAGAGGGTTAAATGCCGTTGCTGCTGGGCAGCAGGACACAGGCGGGCAGAGCGCAGGGTGGGGGAAATACACGCCGCGTTGGGATAAGCAAGCACTGATCCAATGCTAGTGTCCTTGCCGTCTAGACCCGACTGCCTATGTCAAGCACGCCAACAACACGCCGCACTAAACGCGCACCGTTCCGCCCAACGGTGCGCTTCTACTGCAGAGGACGGGCAGTGCAAGCTGATGGGCAAGTCTGCCGCCCAGAAGAGCCCAGCCCTCAAGCTGTGCATCCAGGCCGGCGCTGGGAAAACGGTGTTTGACTACCTCACCAACGCGGGGCGCAAGGCGCCGCTCAACGTCAAGATCCTCAACCACAATTGGACATCGTGAGAGCGCACGCGCGCGAGCGTGTGTGTGCGTGTGTGTGTTTGGGAGGGCGATAGTTCATGCGCATGCGTCACGCCGTCATGATGTCACTGCAAAGGGTTGGTGGCTGTCACAGCGAGCCATGTGGGGCTGATGCAATGCGTCTCAGGGCCGCATGTGCAATATCAAGTCGGGCACAAATCTGTCATATCCGGTGCATTCTCACAACCCATGCCGCCTCGCATCCACCACCCACCAACTCAACCCCCCTCACCCCCGCCTATGCGTCTTCCCACACAGGTACCTCGCCACCTGCAGCAATAAGTCACTGCTGGTCGTACCACCAGGCGAGCGTGAGACGTCACCCATCAAGGGGCTGCTGGGCGAGCCAACAAGCAAGAACAACTGCTGGTGAGTTGCAGCTGGCCCTCTCGCTCTGTAGGCCCCACGAGTCTGGGCCGTGCGGCGCAAATCAGGCCGTTTTGCACACCCGCCCATTGCAAACGCGAGACGCCACACATCAAATCACCTGTACGGCTGTCAGCGGCGGTGACTCTTGCATTTTTCTGGGCCTGCAGGCGCTGTGACGGGGCGGGGCTGTCAACCCCTTACAACTACTGTTGTGCATGCCGCACTCACCTCGGACCCCTTCGCGTCTGCGTACCGCCATCCAGTAATGCAATCGTGCGTTTGTGTAGGCATGCCCACATGATAGCCAGTTGTTCAAAGCTTCAACCACGTCCCACACACGCACTGCATGCGGTTCAAACACCAATCCTGCCCAGGCCCCTGACCGAGTCAAGGCTGATTGAAATCGCCGAGACCGTCGACCTGAACAAGGAGAGGAGTAAGGGTGTGGACGTGCAGCGGCTGAAGTTCTTCGCCAGGTTTGGTGGCGAGAACGGCGTCGTGACTTCCAGCAGCGTGGCCGCCGCGCGCACCGCAATCAAGGCAGGCGAGCTGCCGCCGGGCAGCAGCGCTCTGGCCACACAGCAGCAGGTGGGCAGGGAAGGGCACCGCCTTGACAAAAATCTTCATGCTGAAAATCTTCCCATTAGTAACCCCCTGCCGCGCAACGCCGTCTTGTTGTAGATGCCCCCTTACCCGCATGACATGTGCATGCCCGCAGATACACATGCACACACCAAATAAAACACATGCACACGCACGCACATATACTTGACCTTGCCACAAGCACACACATGCACTCAAACACATGCAAGCAAGCTCTCTCGTGTGCACGCGCGCGTGCACACACACACACACACACACACACACACACACACACACACACACACACACACACACACACACACACAAGCACACA